CTCTAGGCCACTTAAGTTCCTGAATTTCTGTTTTCTTTACTTCCCTAGAAAGTGTATGATTAAATATGTCAAGAGCAACAATTCAGTGATGGGAAAAAAAACCAAAATAATTCAGGAAAACATTCCAACAATGGAAGGAGAGGACCAGACAAATGAAATGGGCATAGAGGAAGCACTTCAGAGCAGCATAAGACCTTTAAAACTGGGGGCGAGCCCACTGACTCTGCAAGGAGACTTTGTAGAGGAGGGTGAAAATGAGGGAATGTGCACAGCCTGTGAACTTAAAAAGCTGAAAACCTCTCCTTTCAGCCTCTGCTTAGCATTCCTCCCCCAGGTGCCGGGGTGACAGTTTTGTGATTGGCAGTTACACCCGATTTAATGTTGCTAGGGTGCCTGACATTCAACTTAGTGCTATATATAGGTGCAGAGGCACCTAAGTTTCAACATGATCTTCATTTAGCTAAAATGTTAAGGAGCTACTGGTTTTTAAGCATAGAGTTTAAGCAAAGATTCATCAGTTCGATAAACATTCAGTACGCTCCTACCATGTGCCAGGCATTTTCTAGGTACTGGGTAACAAACAAAGTAAAGTTCCTATTCTCATAGAACTTACATTCCAGTGGGAAGGAAAACAGAAAAAAATAAAGAAATATGTAATGGGGTAAAAAGGATCAAGAGTGAAGACAGGTGTAGTAGTTATATAAAGTTGTTAGGAAAGGCCTGTTTGATGAGATGATCTTTAAACAGAGACCAAGGAAATAAGGAAGCAAGTCATGCTGATATATCTGAGGAAAGAACATTCCAGGCAGAAAGTAGTTAGTACCTAGGCCCTGGGGTGGGAGCATGCCTGGTATGTTCAACCAACTGCAAGGAGACCCATCTTACTGGAGCACGGTGACCTGGGGAAGGGGAACAGGGCCAGGTCACAGACCATGGTGAGGGTTTCACATTTTGTAAATGAATGTGATGAGAAGCCACTTGGAAGATTTTCAGAACAAGAGTGACATGATCTGACCTACATTTTGTTATAGAATTACTCTGGTTGTTGTGTGAAAATGTACCACCAGGGAGCAAGGGATGAATGAGGGATGCCAGTTTGGAAGCTCTCACTACAATCTGGGAGAAGATGATGGGACATAGACAATCACAGCTTATAGAGAAATAGTTGGATTCTGGATGTGTTTTGTAGGTAGAGCCAACAAGATTTGTTGATGGGTTAGATGAGTGGTATGAGAAAAAGAAAGGAGTCAGAGATGATGACAAGGTTTATAACCTGAGAAACTAGAAGACGGGAATTGCCATTTACTGAGATGGGGACAACTCCAGGAAGAGCAGGTACCATAGGGAACGAAGAGTTTGGTTGAGAAGGGCTCAGCTTGAAGTGCCCGAGCAGAGTTGTCAAGAAGGCAGTTGATACACAAGACTGGAATTCAGAGGAAAAGTCAGGGCAGGAGATAGAAATTTGGGAGTTGTCATTGTATAGACAGCTACGGTTCACATGTCCGCACCCTCAAGAACTTGTCCTCTTAATGAGCTATTAAAATATGCTCTTTATATGACCTGTATACCCTGAATGAACTCTTACACGAGAACTGTGCTTTCAGGATTTCACAAAGCATTTTTCATGAAGACTTTCAACGTTATGTAAGATTCTTTTTCCTCTTTCCTTTTTTCAGAACTGAAGCCACGTGGTGTAGCAGTCAATTTGATTCCAGGATTACCAGCGTATATCCTGTTTATGTGTGTTCGACATGCTGACTACCTGAATGACGATCAGAAAGTAAGGTCGTTGCTAACGTCAACAATTAACAGCATCAAAAAAGTATTAAAGGTCAGTTGATGTTCAACAAAATTTTCACAATGAATATTAGCTATGAAGTTATGA